GGTTGAATGACTGCAGTTTTCAGGGCCTGTGGAAAAACACCTGAGTGAAGAGATTTGTTTACTATATGAACTAGTGGGTCAGTCAGTAGGGGCTTGGACTGGGAGCCGTAGGGTCGCCGGTTCAAGTCCCCGACCAGACCTAAATATGGAGTGTGGACTTCTACTTGAAGAGGTCCCAGTTCACCTTTCGCCGTGGTGCCCTTGAGCAAGGCACCGGACATCCCTCTTCCCCCCTCACCCCCATTGCTCCCCGGACGCTGTACAATAGCTGCCCACTGCTCCTTGTACTAGTCCTGGTACTAGGATGGGTTAAAAGCAGAGAACACATTTCACTGTTTGTGCTGTGTTATCTGCATGTGTGACCATTAAAGAAGGTTTCATCCCTCCCAATTCTATAATCCTAGATCTGAGGCCATGCAATGAAAAATCCTGCTGGAATAATATCATAAATAAAGTATGGACTGATCTTAAACTTAAATCAATATGTTGGTTGACAGTTTAAAAACTAAGCAGATTTGACAGAAAGCACCCCTTTTACTCCCTGTGGTGAGTGGTTTTGGTGCTGTGAAAGGAACAAAAAACACTGTTTTGTAAACAAAGAAAAGAAAAACACTAACCTTGAAGTAGTATCCACATTATATCTTTACTTTGCTATCACAAAAGTAGCTGAATCCGAAAACACTGCTACCTTTGTACATGTCACATAAGGTTGAATTTGGCAGTTGAAAGAGAAGTGGTCAGCAGCACTTTGATATCTGAATTTAAAAAGCAATATGAAAGAAACAAAGAGAGCTCGGACACAAGAGCGGCATTGTTTAAAACATCTGCAACATCATTTGCTATAATTAGGACATCAGAACGAGACAAATAATCAACAATGTAAAATATATTTATGGTGTATAAAAGGTTGGAAGTTGAATTTAACTCACTGCAATATACATATTTTTTTTAATCATTATGTCCTTATGTTGTCTTTTCTTTCCTTTCTGAATACATCTCTCTGGTTTGCTGACTCACCCAGAGCATGTTTTTTTCCTTTGGTGCTTTTGCAAGTGACCTGGGGCATCACAGGATTTGATGTTCTGTAAAACCCACAAGGGTTTAGGGTTTATGAATTATTAAAATCCTTACATTTTCATTTTTGAACTGCCTGTCTACACATTGACACAAAGCCATGTGCAAATCAAATCTTATCCATCAATCCTCATGAAAAAAAAAACACACACAGAGACACATGCTCATCCCATCCTTGTTTCTGTCCAGGAGACTTTTGGTGTCAGCCTGTTGTATTTATAATGCCTTCCTCCTCTCCCAGCTGTGTATGATGAATGTTTGATTTGCCCTCCCATGGCCTGAGGAGAATATGACCAAGCCCAGCCCACCAGGCCACAAAGGCTCTGAAATATTCACATCCAGGAGCCGCTGAGTGGACTCCTGCTCCTGATAGCCTTGTTAAAGTCGATAATGCACCTGCAGCGGCCCCATCCAGGAGACCCAATCACATCAATGAGGCCGGCCGGGGGGAAATCCAGCATGAAAGTCTGGGTGTGCGTGGGTGGGTGTGTGTGTGTGTGTGTGTGTGTGTGTGTGTGTGTGTGGGTGTGTGTGTGTGTGTGTGTGTGTGTGTGT